TTTTGCCTATACCGTCGCAATCAATCAATCAATCGATCAATCAATCGATCAATCAATCAATCAATCAATCAATCAATCAATCAATCAATCAATCAATCCCGTCGAATCTATTGATTCGACAGGATCTTGAACTGTCAAGATCCTGTCGAATTAATAGATTCGACGTGATTGATTGATTGGTTGATTGATTGGTTGATTGATTGATTGATTGATTTGATCGATTGATTGATTGATTGATTGAGCAGTCGGATTCGACGGGGTACCTCCTCCTCCTCCTCCTCCTCCTCCTCCTCCTTGTCGGGACCTCCTCCTGTGTGGGTGTGGGTGTGCAAGTGTGTGCCATTGAGTTGGTCTGTCATTTAGTCAGTTACACAATAACTTACCCAGGCATGCAATAAGTCAGTAAGTCAGTCAGTTAGTCGGTCAGTCGCTCTATAACTCAATCAATCTGTCACTTACCTCGAAGTGGAGGGGACTGGCAGCGGATGGTGTACATACAGTAATTGTTGCACCTGCTGCATCTGCTGTAGTGGATGGTGTACATGCAGCAATTCTTGCACCTACTGCAACTGCTGCATCAGACAAAGCAGCAGCGGTTGCTACATGTGCTGAAGTTGATGACCGCAGCAGTGACCCCTCCATTGAACTCCCCCAACCACCCAGCTCTCCCCCCCCCCCACACACACACCCCAAACCCTATTTCTATTTATTTATTTATTTTTGCTCAAAATGCTCTCAAATTTTTTTGGGGGGGGGTCCCCTGGCAGTGCGCAAACCTCCCCCACTTTTTTTTTTTTTTTTTTTGGAGGGGGGGGAAGCAAAAAAAACGTTGTCCGGAATCTCGGACAACTTCCCCCCGATCGTCTCCTGCAGACGTCTGGGGGAGGTGTCTCCCCATCGGACAGTTGGTAAGGTAGTTTGATAGTACTTTCTTAGAGTAAATGCTGCCAATTTTTTGCTAATCCAAGGAGTCAAATTAAATTTATGTTTGTTTTAGTTAGAAGTTTTCTGGAATTTTTATATTTTATTCTTATATAAATTCTGCGAAGACACTTTTCATACGAGAAGCGCTAATGAAATTTTGTGAAATATACGGAAGTTTCAAGTTAGAATATTTTAGGACCTTAAAAATTTTGACAATCTACCTTGCTTAATGAAGATGCTACCGAAGTTTTTAATATTTTCAGATAAGTGTCAGAAATAGAGTAGAGGGATTGAATTATTCTAGACTCACTCAAACATTTAGGTTGTGTAGCACACCGAATATGTTTGGAGGTTTTCCAAACGTCCGAACATGTTCAGGTGTTCGGCCGAACGCCACCCGAACGTGTTCGGCCAAACATATTTAAATATATATATATATATATATATATATATATATATATATATATATATATACCGTCAAATAGAACTGCCCGGTAAACCGTAGGCAGAGAGGGAGAAGAGAACAACAAACGAGGGGCTGTGACAAACTGTTTCGTCGGAGTTTCACCGACTCATCAGGAGGTTATTTATATTTTGATTTTTAATTCGAGTTTGGTTACGAATTTGAGCATACCTCCAAAGCAAACGTTGTTCGTACTATTATTTTATATAACATAGTTATTTTTCAGATGTTTTGGAGATCTTTTTTTTTTTTTTTTTTTTTTTTTTTTTTTTGCTTTCGGAGAGTTTAGGCGCTCGTTCGCGTTCGGTCACCGAACCTGACCACGATGCTACATAGAGTTTAGGCTTTGAACTTCGTACACAGAGTTTAGGTTTTGAACTGTGTTGTGCTACAAACCCTTTTCGTTCTGGTGATTAAAAAAATTATCAGTTTCAGCTTAATCCTAAGAGGATCATCTTCTATTATCCTTTAATAACAAGTCGGTTTACGACTCAATTTCAACTAGCTCCTGCGACTTAACCTAAGGTCTTAACCCCTATGGATTGAAATTTTTTTTTTTTTTACCTAGATGCTAGGCTACAAGAATGGTCCGGGTCCACTTGCCCGGTCGGGCCAAAAAGAATAAAAAATAAAAAAAATAAAAATATTTTTAATTTAGATTTTTATTTTAAACTTGGTAGAGAATTTTGATGTGACCCTAAGTCAAAAGTTGTTGAATTTATTTTTCTGTGTAACATAGTTTTTTTTTCGGATTTGTTAGAGTGTTTTTTTTTTTCTTTTTTTGGCTGGGACCTTCCTTGGTACTTGTACGACCGGGCCGCCTGGGAAAATAGGGTGACCCGGCGGCCCGACTGATAGCCTAGCCTAGATGTTTATTAAATGGCAATTTAAAAAGAGATTGAGTGGTCTTCTTTTGAAAGGTTGGACAAAGGTGGAGGGTTGTTTGACTAAGGCAAGGGGTGTGAGTATAGAGAATAGTTGAAGTTGACGTCGTGTAACACACGATCTATCGATGTTGAATCTTCTGTATGATTGCAGGTATGCTTTGTGAGTTGAAGTTCAGATTTGAATTTGTTTGCGATCATGTGTATATTTTGAAGGGAGTCACACTGTCCCGTTATTTTTATGTTTGTCAGTACTCACATAGTCTACTTTGATCATGCGCAAGGATTGAACAGACTTGTACTGAGAGAAAATGGAAACCTTTTTTTTTTCTTTTTGATTTTTTTAATAGTTGGATGATGAGGTCCATGACGACTGTCAAACTCAAACCTCGAGACCTGTTTCTAAGCCTCTGACGATGAAGCCTCGTTCCCAGAGTGAGAGGCGTTTGGCGGCCACCAAGTGTCAAAACCCGCCTGCCCCTCCTCTTCGTAGTGTGCAGAAGACGGTAGGTCTCGCAATCGCACTTGCGATTGTCTAGCATGTCATCCGATATGTGAGTGTCGAAAACGACCCTTAAAATCTTTGAGGATCGTGTGGTTATGGGTACCACATAGTTCGTCATGGTTGCGATAGCTTGTGTATTCATGCATGGCTCGTTGACATGACAAAGTCTACGTTGCCACGATATTTATCCAGAGTCTCGTGCTCGACACCCGCCGAATTCTTTCGTCGAAAGTTATGGGTTGAATGTAAATAAGGGACTAGGCGCGATTTACGAATGAAGCTTTATTATGTTATGTGAAGTGTGTCGCATGGTTAGATTGACCGTCCTAGTCGACCGTCGTAGGATCGTGTTTGGTAGATCATCGCCTCAAATGACGGTTCGCGCATGAGTCCGATTTGGGCGTTAACCGCGTGTAACCCCTATGCTGCAGCGAACGAGAAACACCCTTGGTTGAACCACCTCTGCGATCGCATACAAAAAACTTTCGTACATGGTTCGGTAGCTCGGTGGGGATACACCCACCTAAGGGATGGTGACAACTCCCAGGTGTGGAGGTGAGTTATACCTCGCGTGACCCTATCATGTCGTAGGGGTTCGCGAGAGTTATGGCTGACGCACTCGGCCGGAGTGGCAACGCCCTGCGACGAAGTCCTGCAAAATCATGCATGACGCAACAGGGAAGGTCCCCGTGCGGGACCGATGCACTTGACACCGTCCAACATACATAGCACCTGGCAGTGCCATATAGTGCTGCATATAGCAACATACTAACATATACACTGCAGTACACCACATAGCAATGCTATATACCCGACCGACCTCAATAACAACACACCCAACGCAGGAGCCAAACCTACATTGCAATGCCCCCAGTGGCATTGAATCACGAGCATTTTCGGCCACAGTCATCGACAGTGGCAATCGGATGTGGTGCGCATCAACTTGTATCCATAGTTTGTAGTACTTCGTACCAACAAGTACTTGGGTATAATGGCAATTTGCTGGTACCAACGTCGGATGCAGTATTTCAAACGATTTCCCAGAGCGTTTCCTGGGTATATATGTAAAATGGGAGGGCCAGGGACGAAGAGCATTTTCCAAGGTATATGTGCAAGATGGGCACCGGGAGTGGACGGCACCATGTGGGGCATCTCCAATTCCATGGCCCTCCCGTGTGTTCCCATCCGCGTGGTCTTATACTGTTTTTTTTTTAAACAAGTAAGCTACATTGTTCTCTCAAATTCACCTCACACTACCTACCTACTCCGAATTATTGTCGTACGGGGAACCCCGTAGCAGCCACAACTGTATCCACGAGTGAACACAGAAGATGCACCCGACCCCCAGGCGGGCGATACCGGCCAGGGGACAGCCGGTAGCATCAGAGACCATGCCAACGGGACCGATCCCTGTGCCTCCCCTCAGGTCCCCTCCCCTACGAACATCAACAAACTCTGCTCAATGCGGATAGGGGTTTTTCTCAAAATCGGAAAAAAAAAAGAAAAAAGGAATGGATTTGTGAGGTCCCCGACCTCGTCTCTCAAGCTGTTTTGTAATACATTTTGAACCTTTTCAAAAAAAAAAAAAAAAA